TTCTTACTCATATGTCTCGCGGTATTGTTCCTGCTGAAACGTAGGAGAAAGGCTAGAGAGGATGCTGGCTACGAAAAGAAAGATGAAGATCCGTCAGAGTTAGATGCGCCATGGAGGGCTCAGTTCCCCGACTCGGTACCTGAACCTGCACCACCAACCAAGGCAAATCATACAGCGTCCGGGTCTGGGGTCGTGCATGAGATAGCAGACGGAAGAACGGAGACCGCTCTCCCACCACAAGAGTTGGAAGCACATACATACGACTGGGAGCCCCGCAATGAGCCTGAGCCGCGAGATGGAGGATTTAGACCTGAGGACCCTGAGCATCGATCTCAACGGTAATCACACTTCTTGTACGTATCAATCAACGATTTGTAGTTCTTCACACTTCGTCTCAGCCATGTCATCTGTGATGTCTCGAGTCTGCACTCCAGATGAAAGGCAGCTTCCCGGGGACTGCTTCTCGTACGATAGCCGTTCGACACCAGCATTACTCATTTCACTCTCGCATTCACCTCGAAAGCCACCTTGTCGCCACCCCAATAGAGCCCGGCGTGCGCACGGTCCTGACACGCCCACAGATAAATCCCGTTCACACCTGCCCCTCTTCTTTTCCTCAAGTTCCCAGTCAATGCCTCACCGCCAGTCCATCTCTCGGCCCAAAGGGCCAGCGCGCCAGTCTAGCGTTCACTCGCTCGCCTTCCTGTTGCTCGTTGCTCTATTGGAGAGCTATCCATCGACGAATTTCGGCGTGGAGTGACGCGGTCGTAGATGAGCACATGTTGTTCCCGTGGCCCGACGTCTCAACTCTCTTTTCACCATGCAGCTCAAGAAGTTATGGGTGGAATGGGCTGGCTTGGGCACATTAATAGCCTCCCCGAGTCCAAGCGCGGTACTGTGTTGCCGCTGCTGTGAGAAGAACGGGTTCGCCCATCGGTGTGGCGGCGCTGTGTCGCCGCCAGTTCATGGCGGGGCCATTGCTCTACCAGGTCGCCGACAGCCAATTGGGCTTGAGAAGAAGCACTAACAAATAAACTACCAACAAATGCCTACGATCGCCGACTCGCCATCTCGAATTCTTTTCCTCCGGGCGTCCCTGTTGGTACGTCTGGTCGACCGCTGTTGGTGCAATGGCATCGACGGTGCCAATCCTTTGCATACAAACATTCGACGATCCTTTTCGACTTCCGCATACCGAGCCTTGTGTGCTCACGGATGACAGAACAGCCATGTCGGTTTGCTCCACAGTGGGATGCTGGACCGATTCTTCTCTTTCGTCGAGGTCGAGCAGGGCCAGGAAATGCTCCGGTGCTCTATGAAGCGCCAATCTATTACGTTGAACAGCGTCGCACGCGCTCTGGTCTGACATTCTGAACGATTCAAGCGCTACTCAGACAGCTCTGCTATGCACAGGAATGGAATGACTCACAGACCACTGGCGTGTCGCTGTGATTATCTCTACGAGCGAGAAGCGAGGAGCGTGATACCAAGTCTAGTAACGAGTGCCTTGAATGAGAACTTCCGTAGCTAGGCGACTGTTACTCAGGTTGGCTACATGAAGGCCCTGGTGGGGTGGTAGGGTAGCGGTGTGTCAGTAATGTGTTTGCACCTGCCTCGTGGATTGCCCGAGTAGGCACTCGGACCAACTTTCCGTGGCAGCTTCCTCACCATCTCACCATCAACTGCCGGCTGGGGCAGCACACCATGGATGAGAGAGGTGAGGCGTCAGAGTGAGGCGTAGCCATTGCCCAACACTATCGATCCACTGCGTCGACGCAATGGCGGTGCCATCGAAGATAAAGTACTTCTTGCTCACAAGCTGCAGAGCGAGCGTTCGACAGCATTCAGCCTGCGTCTGCTCAGGCGGAAGCCTAGCTATAGCAGAAGCGCACTCAACAGCAGCCAACATTCCGACAGCAGCAGCATTCATTCCGAGTCCTGACTCTCAACATGCCATTCGCCACCGTACGAGGCCACAGTATTCATGTCCAGTTGTCCGTTGCGGTAAAGTCTAAGAGTCCAAAAGACCGCCTTCAAATGCATACCCTCGATAAACATGGCCAAGAAAACCGCAAACGATTTCCGTGTACAGCCACCAACTGCAACAGACGATATGAGAACAGAGATGCTCTTCGAAAGCATGTAAGGACTAGACACGAGACAGTACCAAACCAATTGTTCCCTTGTCCAGATGCCAATTGCGACAAAGTTTACCAGTAGGAAGCGGACCTTCATTCCCATACAATTTCTAAACATCCCAAAGGAACAGACTATCTCTTTCCGTGTACGGTTGCCAACTGCGATAGAGTCTTGACTTCAAAGGATCCCTCCGAGTTCATAGGGTTAACGAACATGCCACAGAACCGGGCCAACTACCAGTCAATGGAGAGAACCCTCAGCCCAGTCAGGAAGATTTGCCCCTCAGGACAACAACAACAACAACAACAACATGCATCTCCAGGCCTCTCGCGCCCCACAGTAGATCCTGTCACAGACAGAGGGACTCTGTCCAGCGGCGTGCTGGACCATGGACCAAGTCGCCTGGGATGTACAATACAAAGAGAACAAGAGTAGAGCCACAGTGGATGTGAACGCATAGGATGTGAGCACATGGATGCTCCTCTTCGCCCGTGCCATCGATGTGCTCGTCACCACAGTCAGCGCAATTAATGAGATACTCACGGTACTAAGGAAAAAACAACATCCTGGTATCTACATTGGTCACTCAATTAACATTGGCCTCTTACAGCGACGGGACAGGTCCGGATGTATTCATACTTAAGCTCGTAGGTCTTGGAGCATCTCTAGTCCTTAAATACCGGCGAAGATAGGACAGATCTTTCGAAAAATGATGGCTGCGGAAGTCATGGACGTGTCTGACTGAATCGTGAAACGGCTTGGCTAATTGTCACTGCTCTTCCTAAGAGCGCTGGCGTTTAAAACCCAACATGAAAAGCGCGGTCACCGTATCTTAGTCTTAGTGATACCTTCTGATAAAGGTTGTTGCATTGAACGTAGGAGAATGCACGTAGTGCGTTACATGACGTGCGTCTCGACATCAGTCCCCAATTACCCTATCTATGTCCAACTCCGATAGCTTCTGGATTTCTTTATCCCCAACCCAACTGTACTTGCACCACGTCTATCCGTGGTGGGGTTAGAAAGTTTGACAAATTCAACACCGAGTTTTGATGGGTTAAGGTTGTGGTCGATGAATTCCCTGCGGAACGTCTTGCCATCATCTGAGATATCCATCTTCTTGGATAGCGGACATGTATCAGTTTGTCGAGCATAAGAAGTACAAGTAAAGTCCGCGTCTGCATTCTGTGCCGAGTGGTAGTGCATGACGGACTCGACATCATACACATCGCCGTTAGCGATGTCGCCCTCAGGGTCGGTGACGATGGTGTATGAACTTGAAACCACGGGCGAGGTCCCAGACCTTGCACACTTGCTCGATGTCGCAGTTGGTAATCTTGTCGCAAAGCGCCATCGGGTTGTCGTAGTAGGCGAGCTTATCACATTGGAAGTCAACGTACTTGTCACCTGCAAGTTGGTCAGTAATGACAGCTTGGCATGGCGTGCCGTATGGCTTACGATCGCTGCGTTGGTGTTCGTGTTCCAAGCCAAGAACTAGATGATTGTTAGATGGCGATGGCCATACATAACAGAAGAGGAACTGACTGTGCCCCAACTCATGTGCCACTCGAGCAACAGCATCTGGTGAGACAAAGCTGTCATCAGACCCAGCGTCAGGATTGAAGGTGAGATCTGGATCGAAGAACAGTTGGTGACGCCCTGGGCCCGTTGAGTCCGCCTCGTAACCAATAGTCGAAGACATTGTACCAATTATGCCCTCCCGTTGATCGATGAAAAGTTCCAGCGTGTCTGTGGGAACATGATCGTGCCAATTTTCATCTCCATCCCTGCAGAACTCGCTCTCGCCGTTCGAGGGAGTAAACTCTCTAAGCTCAAGCCAATGCCCGCTGTCACTGCCGGGCACTACTAAAGCGTCTGCCCACAGCTTCTTGGAACTGGTCTTTGATGAAGTGATCGTTGTAGCAGGACGTGATCGTGCAACGACCGTTTTGTCCACGGGACCAGGTCGTGGCGTAGCCGTGGTCGTTCTCAGCTGGTCGATCTGCCCACCAATGTAAGCTACGATAGCTGTGAAGTTTTCGTGTGGGATGAGTCGCGGAGCATACACCCCAAAGGTCGTTGCGACGCAGCCGAAAAGGAGGCCAAGTGGATGAATCGGTCGCATCGCGGTTGACTTCGTCGTCAGTAGGCCGGTTAGGGAAGTGGAACAGACGTTGTGGACATTGAGGAATATATCAAGGGACCGGGGAGGAGTGAAACGGGGTGCGATAGCAGCCTCCAAGGGTCTTTTGGAGAGTGAACATACTCGCACTTCGGCTGTGAATGAGCTGTGAAGTACATTGCGAACTGAACTATTGATGAGGAGTACCGTCAATCGTTAAATGACGGCTACAGGATCTCTTGTGTGCAACACCCATGTTTCCAAGGTTTCATGGGAATCTCTGTCGATGCGTACCTGAGTGTTTGGCAGGAATCAGACCGTATTTTGACCATCGTCGGACTTTGGAACATGGGCTTCTGAAGCACGCGCCTGTCTTCGACGTTGTTGTTCCCAATACTGGCTGAGTGCTTGCGTACGAAGCGAGCTTACAGTATACAATGGCGACTGTAGAGACTCGTGGCATCGATCTCTTCATTTACGTGAGCAATAAAAGCGAGATGAGAACCGTGTGCGAGGTGAACAATAGTCCAGTCACGCACATCTGTGAGGAGTCAACGTGTTATAGGCTTGGGTTCGCTCGAGGCTCGGTAAAAGACAACAGCCCCACTTAATTCGAACGCTCTTTCCCACACAAAGCTCACTCCTGCACCTATACCAGCTCTTCAACACAGACAGTTGCCGCCAATATATTTCGTATTTTCTGGTGATTACTCATCAAAACAGCAGAAACATCTGCAAGTCCCCCATGGCCCAATGGTCAAGGCGTCCGACTGTTACCGCTCGACGGCACATCGGGAGATTCGAAGTTCGATCCTTCGTGGGGGAGTCATCTTTTTGCCCGTCTCTTTCGCTGGCAGTTTCCTAGAGCTTGTTGATTCCGAGTAACATCAGCGTCGGAGCAGCCGTTCGAAGCCTACTTATACAGTCTGTTGCCCATGACCTGTCTGATTTCTACACAGTCTTGATGCATACACACGCTTTTCTTTTGGCATCGTGACTGCTCTTTTGCGACTACCATCTCTCGATTCACATCTGACCACACATGCGGTATCGTACTTCTGCGGGTACGATGGGCCAGACTCAAGGCGCGGGCTGGGTACAAGAGGTGCTACGATGCTGCGGGGTAGAAGATGAGACTTGCGGCATCTGGGGCCGCGACAACCAAGTCCTTGACAATGATATAGAACATGTCATCCCTGAGGAGCGTTGATGGCAGAGAGAGGATGATTGTTCGCTGGCGGCGGGCTGTCTAGCGAAGATCATTGCATACGCTAATGCCAAAGCAAGTGTAGCTACTTCCACATTGGGCGCTCACGAACATGGAACTGCTCCCCAGGTGACCTTGGTAGCATGTTGCAACGGCACTTCCAAGGTGCATTCGCATGTCAATGACGAGGATCAGATTCTGATGTGTACATGGTGAAATCATGTTGCATTGCATACGTTCCAAGATGCACAAACAAGATGACTGTTGCGCTCTGAATGCGGCAAGCGTAGACATGATTGGCTGCAACCACGCGTGGACGACCCTTGTTTTCGGCCGCAGTGCCCTTGTTTTGCGCGCCCCTTCGCAACCTCAAGAAACCGCTCATCCAACCCATCAAGATTTCACAACGCCAGAACGCACCCACAACCATCAAAATCCATCACATGCATCTCGGATACTGATGCGCTGGACTCAACGAGTAGTTTAAGATCCATATCGGCATTATTGCGACGCGTCTTTGTCGCGAAACTGCGCGCGCAGGGCCGGAGGCGGCCACCTGTCCCCACGGCAGAGTCTGCGGTCACGTGCACGACTGCGACGAACGCCAACCCGCAGGGCTGAAGCAACATGACGCAACGCGTAACAGGCCAGCGCTTTCGCCAGCGCAAATTGTCTACGAAGCAGAACATACCTGTGTTGCGCGAGCATGAGGTCGAAAAGCTCGACGACGACGAGGCCTCGCGCCATATCCCTAAGGTGGAAACCGGTGTCGAGAAGGGAGAGGAGATTGTAAGTCTTGCACTAGCCGCTTTGGGCTTTCACGATAGTCGTTGTCACGACGATGCACTCACCTGCTTGTCAAGCCCAGCATAAGAGCATCCTCACACGAATCTACCTCCATCCTCTCTGAACGGCTTTACTGACCCAGTCAACAGGAACATCATTTGCAGGCCGTCATTTCTGCAGCGCAGGCTGCAGCGCAGGGTGCCACTGGCGGCAAGATTGCTCAGCTGTACATCCCTACGCCAGAAGCAACCAAAAGCCACCTGGTATATGATGAGTTGTACCCCAAGCGATTCACGCAGCCTGCAACGTACATCCGTTTCTCTTCTACTGTCGAAGATACTTCAGGATGTCCGTACAACATGACTAGTGATGATGTCGCATTCCTCAAGACGTACAACCAAAAGCGAACGAAGGGTCCACATTGTTCCGAGGATGAGTTTGAGGAGGTCATGAACTTCTTCGAGGAGACGGCTCAGACAAAACAGCCCTTCTCCGCGGTCGGCGATGCTCCAGTACTTGGGTACGAAGATTTGGAATCTGACTTCGACGAGACGATCGGCGAGAGTGCGCGGAGATTTGCCAAAGACATCTACCCGCATTGGAAGAACCAGAGATTGCTCAAAGGAAACAGGCCTTTGCAACCATCACTGAAGTTCGAGACCAACCTCGAGACTGACGAGGCAGATCCGTACGTCTGCTTCAGACGACGTGAAGTACGACAAGTTCGTAAGACCCGCGGCAGGGACGCGCAGGTGACCGAGAAGCTGAAGAAGCTTCGTAATGAGCTGGAACAAGCTCGACTTCTAATGGCTCAGGTGAAGCGGCGGGAGGCTCTGATAAGGGATGCTCTCGTCAATGACAAGCAGATCTTCGAACAGCGCCACGCTGTCAAGGAAATCAAGAGGCGACTCAACATCAAGACTGATGACGAAGAACTCTTGATTACCCAGAAGGTGCGTTCACTCGTCACCATTGAAGCTCAGACAGCCACTGACATATTCCAGCCTGCACCCAAGCCTAAGCCTAGACCTGATCTCGAGCGAGTCCGCCAGAACATCCCTGGCATGAAGCCTCATGTCACTCGTGCCGATGGACGTCTTGTCGATAGTGATCTCGTATACCTCGAGGAGCAGCAGGCGAAGAAGACGGAGGCAATTGACACTTTTATCGAAGACAACCTCGTCAAGCACCAGAAGTGGAATGTTGGCTGGGTGGACGCAACGTGGCGACCCATCACACCACCGCTGGAGCAGGCTGCGGCGAAGTCGGACTTCCGTACGGTCTTTACCGAATCGCAGCTACCCACCCCTCCAGCTTCCGTTTCTGATGATGAAGGTGCTGATTCCATGGCGGTAGTGCGTACGAACGCGCCAGACACACCACGCCGCAATGCTCGGATTCGATTCGGTACGCCTCCAGATGATATACCGTTCCAGGACCAGTCTCGATACCGAAGACGTATCGGGCGGGGTGGGCGTGTAATGATCGACCGACGTGGTGTCAAGCGCCAGAAAGTCGAAGACAGTCAATTAGACGAGCGCGTCGCGGACCGCTGGAAGTACTCCGGAGACAGTAGTGAAGACGAGCAGACGTATCCTGTCGATTGGACAGACAATCTGCACATCAGGTATCGTATCATGATCGAGCGCCAGGGTGAGAAGCAGCATGCTCAGCAAGCAGCGGGCGCAGCCCGAAAATCGATCGAGAACAATAACCGATCTGCGTCCGGCCACCTCATGCCACCAACAGCGGCTCCTGGTCCCAGCGCCTCGTCGTAAACCTTCTCTTTCAACAGCCTCTTGACGACGATACGTGTTGTTTTGTACGAGATATACCCTTTGATTCTTATTCGCGAACGAAGTGATCCAGCTGGCGGAGCGGATGCACCGGAGATATGTACAACATTCGGCGTTTAGGATGGCGAAGTTGGAGGAGGACCACGGGAGGTATCTGGATAGTCGTTAGTGGTCTCTCCGGGTAGTTTTGGATACGTATAATACCTGCAATACTGGGCTGCGCAGGGCACACCCCTAGGCACCCTTCAAAAAAAGCAAGAAACTTACCAGTACTTTCCAGACCGTCTTTCTGGTTCCACCGTGACAATGTTTTGTTGTATGTGGCACCACGGTTGTTGCTGCGCGACGATGATAATAATCGGGAGACGAGCCTCTCAGGCTCTCTGCTTCTTGCCAGTGCCGCCCATCTCTACATCTCCTTCTTCGTCGATCTCTCGTGGTCTCTTCGTCACGACGCCTTCCCTTGCAAGTTTCTCTGCCAACGCCTCTTCCACCTGCTTGAGTAGCCTCTTCTCTCCAATTATGACTGCCTTGGCCATGGCAGAACGTCGCTCTTTTGATCCGGATCCGGCGACGTTTGGTACTCCAGAGAAGTCGCGGACGTCGTCATCGAGGCTCGTACTGTACTGTGCAAGTCGCGTCTGCACAAGCCTATGCAAAAACTCGGCTCCGTTGCTGGTCATCTTTTCGGGTTTCGGTAGCTTGCCCTTCTTCTGCAACCGCTCGAACTCTTCATCCAGCAGCAGTAGCGTCTCTACGAGCACTACGAGTTCAGGCGACAGACTCTCCTGTAGTGTGAATGGGTCACTGACTGTGATGTCGTAGCCAGTGTCGATGACCTCCTGCTCATCAAGGTACTCGACGCGCGACTCCGAGTAAATGCCTGCTGTCGTGGCCAGATCGGTCACCACATCCATAGAAACCTCTGCGACATCATATTGAGCGTAGTTGTCGGTGATGTAGCCATAGCGTCGCAGCAAGTCAGAGCGAGGTAGCGGTCCATAGTCGTTGAAGATCTCCTCGCCAGTACGGATTGGCTTCAAGGCTTTCATGTCGAGAGAGCTGGCCTCGTAGAACAAGCGTGCGTTGTTTCGGTCTCCATCAGCGTTCAGCATGTCTGCCAGAGGGACCATGCCTTTGGGCAGTGCCTCATCCTCGTCCTCAGATGCATATCCTTCCTCATCGACATCCTTCTTCAGCACCGATGGTTCGACGTCGAAAGCGTATGCCATGATCAACGAGCCCATACGGTGCATCAAAGCGAGGTTTCGCTCGTCGCGCATCTCCTCCGCTCTTTGTGGCGCGCGCTCATCGTCTGCGAAGAAAACTGTGGCAAATTCTTTGATGACAGGGATGAGCTCGTTGAGGAACTTCTCGTTGGCGCTCTCTTTCCCGACCTTGTTCACCACAGCGCTGGCTTGCAGCTCAGCGAGTTCGTCTTCCGTCCAGTACATAAGGGTGTCAAATTCGGAGGGCAGAACAGAAAAGTACGCGGCCCAGTTTGAAGCATCGCCATTCAGGTATTCGTAAAGCATGACGAGTATGAGAGACAGCCATGGTCCTAGTGTTTCGAAGGTGGCGGCGGGGATTTCCTTGGACAGGATCGAGTTCTCAACGCTGAGGATTGCTGACCGCGGAATGCGAAAGAGGAGTTCGTGCTCGGCGATGTTTTGTGTGGCAACTGATTTATATTAGCGATTGATCATACGGAAGTATAAAAGGCAGATCCCTAGGAAACCAGCAGGTGTCCTGGACTGACCGCCTCAAAGTGACAGAAAACGGCCACTTACCAACGCCTCTGCCGGCTTGCGCATTGCGCAAGTCTTCGAGTTTGATTTTCGGGCTGATTTCTGCTCCAGATTGTTGAAGCCATTTCAGGAAAACCTGACCAGCGCCTTCAAAGTCCGCCATCGTCGAAAAGGTAGTGAGCGCTCTGTGTAAGTGGAGGTTGGAAATGTGATGGATCGTTAGCGGCGGACCTCAAAGCAGGGCGAACCGAGCAAGGTCCTCATTGGCCGACTTGCCGGCCGCATGTCT